CACCTTTTTTTTTTAATTGAAATGCTGTGGGTAGCAGAGTAAAGATTGTACTATTAAATACATATATATGTATTTGCACGTATACATATATGCATATTCACCACTATATCCCTATTTATAGACTGGAAATTTCTAAGTAATTAAAAGGAAAAATATGGGCAGCTTTTGCAGGTGGAAAGTAAATGTACTTACAGAAGCTCTAAGGAAATTATCGTTGTGCTAATACGGTGCTATGACTGTTGAAAAAATCAAGTAGATGTGATGACTCTATAAATATACACACTATTCTTACAAAATTCAGGACACTGTATATCACTGCATTCTTATTCTGCCTCATTTAATACTCACAGACAGACTGTAAGAAGGTTCCAGTATCACTGGCACTGACATCTTCCCTTGAAGATTCAATTTTGTTAAGTAAAAAATCTTTTCTCCCACAATCCTCTCTTTTTTCACGCGACGTACGCTGTACAGTCTAAAGCGAACTGCATAATTCCCAATCATCTCAGACTCAACGTGATTAAATTTGAATGTCTCTGTGAAGACAGGGCATGGTCCCCGCTGGATGCTGGTTTTTGCTCTCTGCTTCTTTATAGGGAGAAGAACTAGGTGTACTTGCCACGAGCTTCCACCTGTCCTGCTGTATGTGGGAATGTCTGTGACAGCTGTCACTGTCACCAAAAGCTTCTGTTCCTGTGAGTCATAGTCAAAAGTCACATCCAGTGTGCCATATTTAGCTACTGGCTCAGGATCAAAAGGTTTAGGAAGCTGTGAAGATGATCCTCGAGCTGACATATCCTGAAGAAAAAGAAGAAAAAAAGTGGTTTATTTATTTATTTATTTATTTTATTCTATTATTAATCTAGTGTGGAAATAGATGGTTTTCTCTATGCAATATAAAGTGACTATGATCTTTTTGTTCATTTCGTAAGCAAGGTAATTAGACATTGAAAGCCTAAGGAGATGGCTGACTAGCAGCCAAGAAGAAATCAAAAGACGTTACCTGGCCAGTACTGCCAAAAGCCAGGATCCAATCAGACAGAGCTCAGATTAAACTAGGCTGTATTTATGATCTCTTCTTCCATGCCCCACATGTTAGAATCCATACACATTTGTTATGAGATAGAACTACCTTATTTCTGTGTGGGTATATACACATTTTTAAGTTACCATGTTACAGTCCTTTAGCGCTGGCTAGTGATTGAGAGCATGGTGAGACACCAGCAAAGAATACAGGAATTACACCACCCACTTGCATGTGCAGCTCTTGTTGCAGTCCACAAGGGTTCTACAAATGTGCCAAAAATTATGGCTTTATTAATGTAATTTTACTAGAACTGTGTAAGACGCATTTGTTTTGAACACACTTTCTGAATTTTCTGTAAATGGCATCAGTCCTAAAACTGTATTTTAAAATTAATTTTAAAATTGTTTACTGTCAATTCAAATTTTGAACAAAATATTGATCCCCTATATTGTTACAACAGCTAGTTTGACAGTGATACTGAAACACAAAATATTTACAAGTACAGGTCAACCTACTGTTCATATAATAAGTTATTCCAAGTAGGTAAACCAAACGTATTTCCTATGTATTTTCATATTATCAAAGATAGCTGTTTCATGTAAATGAATAGATGCCACAATAAAGCCTTTTGGATAAAGCGTTCTTATTTTAAACTGGTTGCTACATAGCTGTTGGAATTCATTCCCCCAAATGCTTCATTCTTCAAGTTGTTGAGTGGCTATAAAAAAAAAGTTGGCAGTATTCTCACTTCATATTGGGTATGCTTACATTAATGACTGGTGTGACACAGAGCGGGAAGAACTAGGATCAGATTTGCCACCATCTGTTAGGGTTCAAGGACCATATGTACACACTATGTCTTTACCAGCAATGAAGTTCATACAGATTGTGGTCCTAGCTGATCATCAGGTACGTGTAGACAGCTAGCTACTGGAGACCCTTGCATTCACATAGCAGGTGGGCCTTCCAGCTGCTGCACCAGGTATGCAACATCAACTTGCCAAGAGGTCTACTAAGATAGAAACAGCTGTTGGCGCCTCAGGAGTGCTCCCTAAAATGCACTTCAAAAATTCAGGTAGAGACCAAAAAAAGCCTTTTCTGCACGTGGCATCACTAATGTAGATTTTTCCATAGATGTCAGCGCAGTAACTGGTTGTTAAAAACATTTCAAGGAAATACATGTTGGAAAAGATTATTTCTTCATAGTAAAAATTAAATAGATATAAATACAGTTGATAGCAGAAAAAAAAGGAACATTAAATGGAACAAATCTCTATACCACCATTAACTATCTAAAAAATTATTTTTAACAATTCTATTTAATAAAAGACATTTTACATTATGGGGTGTTCAGTTTGAAAAGTGTAAACAGATTTTTTTTTTTTGAGTTGTTTGAAAAATTATGTGGAATAACTTTGACTACAGTCCTTACGGTGTGATGAAGTTTTCTGACCTGTTTAAAAAAAAATAATTCACTCTTACTGGGAACACGTTTGAAAGTTAAGATGCCATAAGGATAACTATGAAGAACAATCTGAAATCCTATTGTAGTATTTTCTGACAAACTTATTTTTTTTTAATGAATGAGCTGCAATATTAGAGTTCGTATATCTGTACATTGGTCTTTAGGGAAAAAAAAAATCTCTCAAAAGGTTGCACTGCATGATGCTTCAGAACACTCAACAGTTTTCATTTACCTCTGGACTAAGGACAGCTGTGCTATCACTTGGTACATCCTCTTCATATCCTTTGTTATGAAAGCTTTCTATTTCATGTCCTGTGCTTCCCTCGCTTGGGCACTTATATGAACATCTTGGACTGTTGCTACACTGGGAAAATTCACATTTACTGTCTCCGACTTCAGAAGGCGTACATGAAAGATGAGGAGAACCACTGTCATCCTGGTATGGAGGCGGCTGCAGTTCATCCAGCGGAGGTGTTCTTCTCATCCTCTGAATGCAGTTCGCTGAGAATAAGTAAAAATTCTTTACTTACTTTCTGATTATTTACTGTTGAAACAGTTCTGTGGAAAATGGTAAGTCCAAATATCTGGACAGAGTAATTAAAATCTATAAATGTCTTTTTTACTTTACATTTTAAATTAGATAACAAATACTACTGAAAAATATTTGTTTAAAAATGGAAACAAATGATCACTCAGACAAGATGTGGGAAAAAGCAAAGTATTAAATATATAGTCACAATGGACTGTGTAAACCATATATAAATAAATATAGCACAAGTATGACATGACAAAAATTCTAGGCTTCAATTTCAGGGATGCTTACCTTGCAAAAACCTTTGGATATCTTAAGTCAGATTCTGTGCAGGTGGAATGTAGACCAATTAAGGAAACAAAATGCACTCCCTAAAGGCATGATATCAAACTTCTGATTACCTCCCATGCTGTTGCTCACCCAGGGAGATACTAAATTAAACTCTGAAGACAAACAAGGTACTGCTAAAGGCAGACACAAACCTTTTCACCCAAGTGAACTCTGATCACCAGTGAATTTAACAAGGGAAGCAGTGTCGGATTCTTTATTACTTGTTAAGGACAGCTAACAGGATGCACCCAGTGTCTAGAGGTCAGACACTAGGTCCAGTCACTAAAGACTGTGGAAAAAGGACCATGAGCAATCTTGTGCTTGGGATGAATACTTGATGCTGACCATCTTTGCTTCTCACTTACACTAGATAGATAGATAGATAGAAATGTGGTTATACATCTCCTCAGAAAATAAACCCAGGATGCATGGCTATGGATGCAGAAAGTTAATTCAAAATAATTACATTTCAATTTGTGATCTCATATTTTACTCTGCAGCACTACACAGTTGACCAGAGTCGGGAAAAGACAGCAAGGTATGCAGTAGCTGAAATGAAAGGAATACCAAGGATAGGTAAAACCTGTATCACATTTTGTTTATGTCCTCTGTAGAAGTTTTAATGAAGATTTCGATGCCCCTCACACGTAAAATTAACTTGTACACAAAAATTTCAAAACAATGTTTTCTGGTTTCACGACATACTGCTTGCACTCACAGAAGAAAATCTACCAAACAAGGAAGTTAACAAAACTATTAACATTAGAAAGATACAAGCTTTGATTTCAGATTCATCTAAGAAACAAACTGATCTTTCCCACATGACAAAGGTAGTACATTTTAGTTTCACCATCAAATTTTTGTATACAGGATTGCCCTGTCTGTGTCCTAAATTCTCAGGAAGTACAGCAACCTTTTAACTGCTTCAGAGGTAATTACCAGTTGTTCAACATATCACATGAACAGAGTATGCGTAAGAGCTACCCTTTATGGAACAAGGCTGAAAACACAGTAATATGGCTCTCTTGGGCAACAACCAGTCTTTGCGAAAGGCTCCCTTTCGTTCTCCTTTCCTTTTCAAGTCAGCTGTACCTGCGGCACACAGGAACAATCCTCAGCTTCTGGCATTTGATGTAAGCCCAAACTACTGTGGTTTCAGTACCCGCCATCCATGGGAAGCAAACCCAGAGACATTGGCTAGAAGGGAGCCCTGCAGATCCCCAAAGCTGGGCAACTGAGGGACAGGGACAGGACAGCTCATTATGGAGCAAATCTACTACACAGATAGGCAGAAGCCTCAAAGATCACTGGGGAACGCAGGGCTCTTCTCTTCTCACTGGGTTCCTAAGGGAACTCCTCTTAGCTTCGGCTAAGGCAAATGAGTAATTAAAACAACACCAAGCACTCCTACCAGATGACACCACTGTCAAGAATCCTCTCTTCTCCAATAAACCCATCAGAGCCAGCCTACCATTCAGAGTGATTCCAAGTTACTCTTACAGCACTCATGCAAAAGGTCTTCTGCTGTTAATTAGCCCAGTGCCACTAACTCTTGAAACTCCAGTCCCACAGGGCTGGAAAGGAACGCAGAGCAGGCAGGGAATCCTACACTCAAAAACCTTACATAGGAAACAGAGTTAAGTGGGACAGTCAGAATCTTGAAATCGCCATGCAGGAATAGTGAGAAAGCTTTATTTGCAAAACATGGACAGATAGAGGAAAGCACCTTTTTGGGGTTTTTTTTTTAATATTAGGGAACTTGTGCCCATGAAACTAGACAGACATAATTTTAGAATCTATATTGGTACTTTAATCATAATAAAATAACAATAAATATCCTTTGACTCTCTATACTATGAAAACAGGACTTCCCTTTCATAATTTATATAATTAAATTTTCTAGCAAATTTAGAGCAACAACATTTTTGCTCGTTATTGCTAAAAGGCAACATACAGCATTAAATGAGACAGTAACCACCATGTAGCTATGACTTAATTTCTTTCTTTTCACGTGTAGTCTAGTCTGCAAAGACTTTTTAACTCCCAGCTTTTTCACAAGCTAAAGAAATGAAAGCATGTCTGGGTAACTATCAACACCATTATTGTCTTACATGAGTAAATAAATGACTGTGTGACTCACTTTTTTCACTTTGATGCACTCCATTATATGTCCCTAAGGGAAAACTGCACAGGCTGTGTGACAGAAAAGGTACTTTTAATGTAGGTGGGGAAGAAGTGAAGACAAGAAAATTCTTATTAACCAGCTGTGATTCTCAGAAAAAGCTGAAACGCTGGGGCAGGTTTTAACTATCTATTTTCGAAAGTTTAGTTTACCAAGCAGAAATAGCATGTAAATTCTTAAAAAAAATATCCGGGTTTAAAAATCTAAGGACGCCCCTGTCTAAACAGGCATAAGCTGGTTTTGAACAAAAGGTTTCTCTACATAAAAAGATATCAAACTTTTCAAATTAATTTTTAAAGTGAAAATATCGCATTTTAAATTAATTTCCCCCTCCCTGCAGTAAATGGTGCAATAAAATTATTTCATGTTACAGTGCTCCGAAAATACAGCCAGTTTGAACTACATGAAGACATTCTAATGACTGATGATATCAAAGGCAAATGATGTCACAGACAGATGTGAATACAGCAACACTGAGTATCTGATACTGGGTATTTTCCTTAAAAATTACACAGAAGTATCAACAAACTTCAACAATCAGTCAATAGCATTTTGCATATGAATCAAAGTTTAAAATAAAAACCCCCACCACTAATGCTCACTGATTGTATTAAAAAAACATTTGGAGCTGAAAGGAAAGCATGTTCTGAAGTGTGTGCATATTTACATACAGAACCACTGCCTATAACATACCTTGTACCTTTCATTTAAGGTGTAAAGTTAGGCAGTTACATTTGTGCATACCTGTATACTGTGACAAAGCTCAAAGAATATCTTCTGAAGACCACTGAATGTGGATAAAAATATCTACTAAAGAGGTACTCTTAGCAAGCAAATGGTTACTGTGAAAATCTAAAATTAATTGTTGCATCATTTCTATGCAAGTTTCCTAAGAAACTTTCCACTCTCAAACCGGAGGGAAAATAAATTTTGCCAATTCCCCCAACAAAATTAATCATATTAAATGACCATATCATTTTGGGTGAAAAACCAGCCAGCATATAACCCAAACCTGGAAGAAAAGAATGATCACAGAGAAACCAAATCGGGTTTAGGTTGAGGGTCTTACCAGTCAGAAAATTCCAGAACAGAGGAAAGACAAAAAGAGTTATAAAGGATGAAGATCCCACATCCAGTTTTCCACCCAAAATATGTGAAATAATTTTGCATTCTCATAACGTGAGTGAAACTAGGTTGTTTAGTAATAAAAATTAGTAAACTCTAAACTGAGAATAAAGTGTATTGCTGTGAATAGGCAGATGTGAATAATCAATCTTTTAAGGGTTAACTGCTTTAATTAAAATTTTCATCCTTCTTTAGTGGGCTGGGAAAACACTCATATAGTGGTAACAGTAAAGTCCTTGCTCAACAGCTGAAGAAACTGGAACTATAAGCAAAAGACCTGACAAATACAAACAGATTAGAATTTTGCTGGTACACTCAAAAATTACAGCATGTAAACTGTCATTAGCACATTTAAGTCGGAAGTAAATAAATACCTTCTTTTCAGCACTGTTTGTTAAACAATGAAGGTTAATCTGTTTTCGTAAGTCCTTGTACAGGGGACTGATTGAAAGCCAAGGGGCAATAATACGTACTCGTGCCATCAACCTCAAGGGACTGTCAGTAAAACCTGACATAGCAGCCATGGCCAAAATGAGTATTCCTGGAACATACAGGTGATAACTATGAGAAAATACACAAACTTTTTCAAACATTTTTCCAAGTGGAAACACAATTTAAAGATACACAAACTTGCTGTATGAAATGCTTTTTGTTTAGGTTTTCAGTTACTATTTGAGCTTTCTACTCTCAGTGCTCCTCATTTTTCCTCCCTGTCCGGGTCCCCTGTGGACCATACTAGGCTGTACAACATTTCACCATGAAGCTAGTGATGTTCCTTTCCATGTTTACAATGTTTAGACTTTGCTATCTTAATTAATTTTCCCAAAGGTTGTCAGCAGCAGCACAAACCTAGCTTTCTTTAGTCCATATTTCCTGAGTAATTCCAAGAACATGCATCTCTTAACATATGGAAAAAGAAACTATCCTTGTGGTTTTAATTCCCCTGTCTCACAAGCAGTAATTAACTGCACTTTTGCAACTTGGAGTTTCTCATATACATTACTTCTTTAAATATTCATACTATTGTGGGAGACAGCATTACCGCAAAACTTCTTTGGGAATGTGGTTTCCAGTTCCCTTAAAACAAATAATCACTACATAAATTAGTAATTTTTGCAAGTCATATTTTGTAATTATCAGAATATCTTCATACTCAAACAGTACCTTTTCTTCCTCTAATATATCTCCACATGCACTATGCTTCATAATTAATTATTTTTTTAATCTAACATAAATTTCTCCTTTTCAAGCCTTCAAGGGTTTCTATGTAAATGTTAAGACAATTTAAATAAAACATAAAATGAAATGCATGTTTAAAAATTAAAGAAACCT